AACTGAGGAGAGTGTCAGTCATCGTACATCCATTGTCGACTCATCTTCATTACACAACATCGAAAAGACCAAATAATGCAAGTTCATACATACTTCTCATAAAACAACATAAAACTATCTAGCTAAAGCATTTAAATGCAACAATAAATGCGATCAAAATCGCAACTAAGATAATAATTGATCCAAGAACATAATGATATCAAGCCTCTTTATTAATGGTACATTTTCTAATCTTTTCAATCTTCAAGCGCATTGCATCCATCTTCATCTTGTGATCATCGACAAAATCGGCAACATACAACTCCAATTTCATCTTCTCTTCTTCAATTTTTTTTCAATTTTTCTTTCAAATAATCATTTTCTTTTTCAACTAAATTTAACTTCTCGACAAGAGGGTCGGTTACAATTTCTGGTTCACATGCCTCCTACATAAAAATATCTATGTCAACTTGATGGACATAATTGTCATAAAAGTGAAATGAAACAAATAGTTATAAAATATAATATAGCACATCTGAATCATAAACCTGACGAAGGCTGACGGGACGGATATCAAAACCATGGCACTATATATAACAAAAAATCATACAAGAAAATTATACAAGCATCTATCTAAATCATACAAATAAGATTTTTTTACAGAAAGGATAAGAACAAGAGCCTCACCAAGGTGGTGCTGGAGACGGGATGGCGCGGGCGATCGACGATGGTGAAGACGGGGACGGGAAGGCACTGAGTAAACCACACCAAAACATATACAAAGTACGAAATTAATTTGAGCTCAAATTCCATATATAAATCAAATAAACTCCCACATAATTACTCTCAAACTAAAACCCACAAATGACTATACTTATATAGTATGAAACAAGCTAAACTAGCAATGTGAGAGATGAAATGACGAAGTTGCTAACCTTTTAGAACCCTTGGATAGATGGACTGCCTGAAATCTTGACAAATCTTGGCAAAAATGGAGGATGAGCTCGAGCTAGGGGAAGGAAAGAGAGAGGAGAGAAAGGAGAAAGCTTGGACTCGGGCTGGACGAAGCAGTTTATATAGGTATATCCTTAGTCCCGGTTGGTGATATAAACTGGGAGTAATGGTCCTCCTCCCCGGTTGGTGATACACACCAGGACTAAAGGGGCTCGCAGGGGGCCCAGCCTGCCGCCACACCTTCAGACCCGATTGGTATAATCAACCGGGACTAGAGGTCCCATTTGTACCGGGACTAAAGGGAGCCGTGCCCCCGTCCGCTCCTAGACGTTGGAACCGGGACTAATGCTCACACTAGTCCCGGGTCAAAACCCGGCAGGGACTAGTGCTCTGGACAAAAGGTCACTTTTCTACTAGTGCATGCATGAGAAAAGGCCCACCTCACTATCATATGTCTCTTAACATGCAAGCATGCCACTTCATCCTGACATGAATAAAAAAACACCCATCTCAACATGCAAACATACATGAGATTTTTCATTCTATTATGCTATATATGTTTAATAAATATTGTACAACTATATATAGTAATCATACATAATAAATTTTATGTATATTTAGTTTTCGCTTTTTTATTATTACTTCAAATACTCATGTTTCATACGACGAATCACATTGAAATATGTTGCAAAATATTTCCGCAACAATGTGTGGGGTATCATCTAGTATATACACTTAGCAGGTCATACCTTTTGTAACACGGTGAGAAAATAAGAAAATAAATAAAGAGGGAAAACAAGGGGCGCGACAAGGGCTTTGGCTACAAGTTGTTGTGTGTGTGTGTGTGTTCATCTAGGTTGATGTGATCGATCCGTGGGAATGTTTGCCGTTGCAACACACGGGCATGTTTGCCAGTATCAACAATGCAGGAATTGGAAAATAGGAAGGTGACTATAGAGCTCGTGCCCGAATAAATATGGAAAAACACCCAACCCAACCCTGCACGATAAGTAATAATTCAACAAAAACAGATACGCATCAACCTCTACCAACCGGCGTAAAAATCGATCAGCCTCCAATCACGGGCAATCTCGTCGAACAAACATGAAGAAAGTTTGCTCAGATCGATCCACCTCCATCCCGGAGGACGTGGTCGTGGAGATCCTGGCGCGCGTCAAGGACGCGACCGCGCTCTTCCGCTGCGCCACCTCGTCCTGGCCCACGCTCGCCTCGACGACCTGTGTGCTTTCGCCGGCTTCTTCACCCAAGAGGAACCGCCACGTGAAGGGTGCACCGCGACTTGGTTCGTTCCAGCGCCAGGTCCAGTGCCGGCTGTGCTTGGCCCTCGTCGCCGGCTGCTCAGCTCCTTGGCTCCCAGCAGCCCCAGCTTCTTCTTCGACAACGCGGTGCCGCTCACCTCGTGTCACGGTCTTCTCCTGCTTCGCCTTGACCGTCATTCGAGAGGCCCCGGCGCCGTCCTGGCCGTGTGTGACCCTCTCGCCGGCACGCTAGGCATCCTCCCTTCTTTCCGCCGCCGGTACGTTACCGGCTATGCCCTACCTACCGACGCGTACTGCTGGAGCTCCTCGGGCGGCCAGCAGCGGCAGGGGCCTTTCTTCAAGGTGCTTATCATTACTATTCACAAGAAACCAGCACAGTACAGCCTCCACACGTTATCGTCGGCCGACAACTTTGGATGGAAGAAGGTGTGCTCCGGTGATGCCTTACAGGATGAGCACCAGGGCATACGGGCCACACTGAGGCAGCGCGACGCCGTTGTGCGTGATGGCAAGGTGCACTGGCTCTTCAGCGGCGCATCCGGTATCTACACCCTTGATGTGAGCATCAAGACTGAGCATGTCTCGTTTACAAAACTGATCAACATAGAACTTCATGACCTCTTTGGTCACCCGAGTTATGGCATACCATATCTTACCACCGACGCCGAGGGCAGGCTCATGTTGGTCTGCCTGCATAAGGACAGTCGTCAGATAGAAACTTGGACATCACACAGGCCGTTCCAAACATCAAATATCGATCAAAAACAAGAAGACACTACCAAGGTGTACACGTGCTTGGGAGAGAACAGCGGCACGATCCTTGTCATAAACAACTATCAGGCAGTTTATGTTGTCAATGTCAATACTGAGGTTATGGAGCAGGTGACGGAATTGCCATATGGCCACGGCCTCACCCGTCGAAATACCGTGCTCTTGGATATTAATTGGCCGACTTTCTTTGCTACTCGGCTTGGTGTAGTAGCCATGTGAAATTTTCCTCGCTTTATTATGCATTGCAAGCTAGCTAGATGTTGGATGGATGAGATGAATCCTAATCACGTTGTAGGTTGCATACCAAACACGCCCAACGAGAGATAACAAACATAATCCTGATGAGTGGGGTATCAGGGCTTGGTGGTTACTGCCTGCATGTATTTTCTGCTCTTCATGTTTTGTATTATCTAAGTATGGATCAAGATTCATGTAATTAATCGGGTAAAGCTACCATTAAAAGATGGATTCTTTGTATCAATATAAATACTTTTTCCCTGCTTTACGTGATGTACAGTTTTAAGGTTATTTTTTCCGCGACTCTTCTGGATCTGAATTGGTAAAGCACTCTGCTTGCAAAGTCTAATATTTGAGCCAACATTTGTTGAAGCAACTAGGAACCAATGCTGATGGCACCAAATCTGTAAGTGGGCCAACATCCTGGATCTGCCAAAGTCTTTTTTGTTGTCTGCGGCAAATGAACATTGCAGAATTATTATTTTTGTGCAGTGGGGGTGGAGTACATTGCAGAGTACCCGCCACCCCCTTGGTAGCCACCACCTTGCTTCGGTTTGGTATGGCATCCACCACCGCTGTTACTGGCACGGCCACCATAGCCGCTGCGGCCATCATAGGAGTTGTTGCCGCCATTGTTCCAGCGGTTGCCGCTGTTGAAGGAGCCACGGCTCCCTCTGTTAGAGGTATTTGCAGAGTACCCACCAGGAGCCAGCTGGGCCCCGAGGAGAATCTCAGCCGCAAGAAGTTGCTCCTACTATGGTCGCCGAGTGAGATGGGATCTCCACGTCTTGTTGTTGTTGAGATTGCAGACACGAATGGATTCTAGTCGTTGTCGAGTCCGTGAAGAATCTGCGAGGTTAGATCATCCTCATCGACCTTCTTTCCAATTGTAGCCATCTCATCAGCGATCCCCTTCATCTTTGTGAAGTAAGCCGATACCTTCATCTCTCCCTTATTTTTGTGTCGGGGAGCTAGCCGCGGAGCTGGACTGCTCCCGCCCGAGATTGGGAGGAGTACATCTCCGTGATTGCCTTCTAGAGAGGAGCCAAGGACGTGATGTCCGAGACCTGCGCCAGGACCTCTCGTGAATCGTGATAGAGATCTCATCACATACGCCAGCACCTATTGATCCTGGATTCCTGGTAGACACACAGATCGTACATGGGATTGGCTACTTGCTATGTGCGGCTTTTGTCAGCCTTCTGGAGCTCGATGAATTCCGAGGGTGCGACGGTGGTGCCGTCCATGTAACCAAACATACGAGCTCCTCTGATTTGGGGAATAACTTAGCTTTCCATAAGAGAAAGTTGTCCCTGGGCGCTCGGTGACTTGCTGGCTGAGGGATTTGAAGGTAGCGGGCTTGGGGAAGAAGACACAGACGATATGGCTCGAGATCGAGATGTGCAGGAAGAAGTTTGGGCTCTGTATACCATGTAAGAAATCGGTGAAAGAGTTTGCTGTATTGGCCAGCAGGGACTGGATCGTGCGTGTATATATGAGGCGCATAGCGCGCAATATTACATGGAGATAGACCTGATTCATACGAAAACTATACAAGAGATTTATAATTAAATCAAGCAACAACCAAACCGAGATATACAACAACTCCGAACCATACACGCACGGAATACAAACAGGTATTTCAACGGTGAAGAAGCTCCTTGAAATTCCCCATCGAATTCTCTCTAATACCTACTATCCAAACACCAAATTTTACGAATATTATTATCTGATTTATATCACACCAACTAGGATACGAAGGGCAGAGACGTGGCAGCGTTAAAATGTGGGAACCGAGCTGCAGCCAACATGAATAACGGAGTTAACCTTGAACTCACTGTGGGAGAGACATTTATCTTTGGTTCCCTTCCGGGCTCTTCTTCTGCAGTTTGACAGCATCACATGGGTTGCGACATAGGCCAGCACGGCGATGACAAGTGTGCCAACATGCGCAGACGTCTTCCACTGCCTGCTGGAGCCAGCTGCGTAGGCCACTAAGAATCCAAGGAACTGCGCCACGACCGTCGGTTCTATCGCCATTTTCAACCAGTTGCACCTGGGGGACATGCTGAACAGCAACAGCCCGATGAGATAAATGGACGCCACGAAGGAGGTGGAGTTGCCGTAGAGGAATGTGAGGTACCGGTTCCTCCTGTTGTCATGCATCACTGGGTTGCCCGCGTCGTGCCCGTCGCCGGTGCTCTGCCAAGATCCGCCCGGCGGGTCCAGGCCGGATTGATAGGTTACACTCCCCACCAGAATTGCTAGAGTCATGAGGTATATCTTCTTTTCCATGTCAGTGACTTCATTTTCCTTGTCGGTGACTTCATTTTTCTTGCCGGCGTCTTCATTTTCCATGTTGGCGTCTTCATTTTCCGACATTCTCTCCTCTTCCTCTTCCGTCGTCCACCCCAGCAAATATATGGTGAGCAGTAGGAGCAGACATAATAAGAAGGCCACAGCCGCTAACACGAAGATGTACAAGGATGTTTTCAGATGCTGCGTGCTTCCGGCAGCAAAGGCACCGATCAGACAGATGAAGCTCACCGCTGAGCAGAGAGACAAGGCATGGCTTCGTATGGCTGGCCTGTACATATTCGGGTTGACGAGGAGTAAGATGAGGACGGTGGACAGCATGAAGCTCACCGAGTTGCAGTAGAAGAAGACCTTGTAGCGGCGTGGATAGTTGTGGAGGAGAACTGGGTCGCCCGCACGGTGCCCGGACTGGATGTCGTCCTGGAGCAGGAAGCCGCCTGGTGGGGTCAAGCCGGCTTGGTAAGTGATGCTTGCGACCAGGATTGCGAAGAGGAGGAAACGGTGTCCCTTCTTGTCCACCAACGCATCATCTTTTATCTTTTTGAGGACAACCGGCGCTTCATCTTCGCTGCCCAACGTGAAATATTGAACGTGGACGACCACGTAGACCACGGCGGCACCAGCTATGCCCACGGCATACATGGAGGATATTTGGTCCCGGCAGCTCCCGATTGCGTATGCGACGATGAGGCCAAGCAAGTCCAATATCATGGCCGCTTGCAGTGCGTGGTGCTCGTTCAGGTAACTTTTCTGGGCGAGAAAGATGGCAAGCAAAGAGGCCGCAAAGGCAACCGTGTTGCAGTAGAAGAAGGCTTTATACCTCCCGGCGTTGGTCGATAGGAGTATCGGATCACCAGCCATGTGGCCGTCCTGCCAAACGCCACCCGGTGGATACAGCCCAGCTTGGTAAGTGATGGACACCGCAAGACCGGCCAGCAGTTGCACGAGAGAAGCCCGGCGACGTTGCAGTTGCCGTTGCCATTGCCGTTGCTCTCTTTTCTTGTCGTCGGATTTCCGAGGGACTTGGTCTCCGTTATTGTCAGATGTCCCCTGAGCCTGAGAGACTTGGTCTCCGCTATTGTCAAATGTCCCCTGAGCCTGAGGGACTGGGTCTCCTCCGTTATTGTCAGATGTCCCCTGAGCCTGAGGGACTTGCTCTGCGTTATTGTCAGATGTCCTCTGAGCCTGAGTCGGAGGGGCTTGCTCTGCGTTGTTGTCACTGCATGCACCGAAATTGCAAACAGGAATAAGCTCGATCATTACCAATAGCAAGAGTTCGATTTGTGGAGGAATCGGAAAGAAATAACAAGAGTATGTATGCATGTGAGCCGGTAATATCTGCCCCGTTCCAACCATCTTGTCACTTTATCGCAAAAATCTTTTGGCCAGAAGCGCGAGACACGGATGGCTTTCATGACAAGCATATTGTCACGACCTAGTGTCGGCCGGAGTTCGACGGCGGCGAGCCGGAGTGGCGGTAGGAGGAGCAAGGGGAAACGGAATCGAGAGAGAGAGAGAGATACAGAGCAGAGGAGATAAGAACAGAACGAGTGGACAGAATGCTTTTGATTTCAAATTTCATACCCGTCACTGTTTACACGCTTGCTTATATAACGCAAGTATTACACGGCCCGCCGGCCCACTCTCTCGAGCCCAACACCCCTCGGCCCATGTAACGCTTCGTTCAAATCTCCTTGCCTCTCCTGCGCGCGCTGCTTGCCTTCTGCGCTGCCTCATCGCCGATCGCCTGTGAGCCACTGCTTACAGTACCTGCCCCTGAAGAACCAGCTTGTCCCCAAGCTAGTGCGCTGGGAAACCTGGTCTTGAGCACCTCATAGTCTTCCCAAGTTGCTGACGCAGCCGGGACAATAGCCCATTTGACTAGGACTTGCAAATGCGCGGCATTCCCTTTCTTGACCAAGCGATGATCGAGAATTTCTTCAGGAATGACACCTAGTGATGTCAGATCTACCGGAACTGGTAGTGTGGTGAACACCGGGGTGTGATCTGGCACATGGCCCTTTAATTGAGAGACATGAAAAACCGGATGCACCTGGCTTCCCTGTGGTAGTTCCATTTTGTAAGCTGCCGTCCCAATCTTGGCCACAATTTTGTAAGGTCCAAAGTACTTGAGTGCCAGCTTGTGACAGGGTCTGTTTACCACAGTAGATTGAGAATACAGTTGCAGTCTCAGATACACCATCTCCCCTGGCATGAACACTCTGTCTCAGCGCTTTTGGTCAGCAAAGTGCTTGTACTTGCTCTGCGCCCTTGCCAAGTTATCTTTCAGGGTAACTGTGTGTTCAGTGTGGGTGGCCATCCATGCCCTGACATCTGGGTGTGGAGATACAGGATGCCCTGCCAACTGACCTATGTTAGGAGCATGGCCATACAGAGCTTGATATGATGTACACCCCAGAGAAGAATGATATGTAGCATTGTACCAGAATTCAGCCTGTGGCAGCCAGGTTGCCCACTTAGTAGGACAGTCATGCACTGCACATCTCAGGTACATCTCAAGGCACTGATTTACTCTTTCAGTCTGTCCATCTGTTTGAGGATGGTATGATGTACTCATTTGCAACTCTGTCCCCCACACTCTAAAGAGCTCTTTCCAAAATGAACTGGTGAAGATCTTGTCTCTGTCTGACACAATAGACAGTGGCAATCCATGCAACCTGACAATATTGTTGAGAAACACTTTGGCTACTGATGCTGCTGTGAAAGGGTGCTTCAGAGGGAGGAAATGGCTTACTTTAGTCAATCTATCCACCACCACTAGTATAGCACTGTAACCATCTGATTTAGGTAGTCCCTCAATGAAGTCCATACTGATTGCTTGCCAGGGACTATCAGGGACAGGCAGAGGTTGCAACAGGCCTGGTTTCGTGCATAACTCATGTTTGGCCTGTTGGCAAATGGCACACTGCTTGACTAAATTTTCTACAACTACTTTCATCCCTTCCCAACTGAATAGTTGCTTCACTCTATGATATGTTGGACGAATATATACCAGAGTGTCCCCCCACAGGACTTGCATGAAAAGCCTGGATTAACTTTGTTTGGAGACCAGCATTTGCTCCTACCCAAATCTTATGATCTTGCTTCAGTAATCCCTCCTGTAGCTGAAAACCTGGACAAGCAGCTGGATCCACTGCTAGTTTCTGTAGCATGGAACAAGCCACATGATCAACGGCATAAGAATTTAGGATCTCTTGCACCCACACTGGTTTACTGGTGGATATGTTTTCCACTCCTTTTTTGTATTGGATAGAGAACTGCAGCCCCACTAGCTTGGTCATAGCTTTTCCCTGCAAATCTGAAGTCAGGTTCTGATCTCCCAGATGACACAGGCTTTGGTGATCAGTTTTGATCACAAATGGTGCTCTAGACAAATAAGATCTCCATCTGTCCACTGCCATCATAATTGCCAGGAACTCCTTCTCATAGATGGATATCTTCTGATTTGCCACTCCTAGAGCTTTACTGTAGAATGCAACAGGGTGCTCTTCTTGAGACAAAACAGCACCCACTCCAGTGTTACAGGCATCAGTTTCTACAGTAAAAGTTTTGTCATAGTTAGGCAGTGCTAAAACTGGAGTGTTGATCATGGCTTCCTTCAAATGTTGGAAAGCTTGTTGAGCTGCTGTGGACCACTCAAATGCTTGTTTTTTGAGAAGAACAGTGAGAGGTTTGCCAGTAACCCATAATTCCTCACAAACTTTCTGTAATACCCAGTCAGTCCTGAGAATCCTCTTAATTCAGTGACATTAGTGGGTGTAGGCCACTGTATCATTGCTTCAGTCTTTGCAGGATCTGTAGCTACTCCCTTGTCAGAAATTATGTGTCCCAAATACTCCAGAGATTGCTGGGAAAACACACATTTTGATTCTTTCACAAACAATTGATTTTCCTTGAGGATGTTAAATACAGATTGGAGATGTTCCAAATGATCCTCCAGGGTCAGGCTGAATACCAGGATATCATCCATAAACACTAGCACATACTTTCTGTTTGGACCTGCAAACATGAAGTTCATTACACATTGAAATGTCCCTGGTGCAGTTGCTAATCCAAAAGGGACAACTCTGAACTGAAATTGTCCATGGTGAGTTTTGAAGGCTGTTTTGTATTCATCCTCTTCCTTCATCCTTATCTGGTGGTACCCAGCCCTCAGGTCTAACTTGGAGAACCACTTACTGCCTCCCAACTCATCCAATATCTCATCAATGACAGGCATTGGAAACTTGTTTTTGATAGTTACCTCATTTAGTCTTCTGTAATCTACACAGAATCTCCATGTACCATCTTTCTTTTTTACTAACAGTACTGGAGCAGCAAAAGGGCTCATACTGGGAGTGATTAGGCTAGCATCTAGCATTTCCTTAACCTGTCTTTCTATCTCATCTTTCTGTTGTGGTGAATATCTATATGGTCTGCAGTTTACAGGTACTGTATCTGGCAGCAGATTGATGGAAGGATCAAAAGCTCTGTGGGGAGGAAGAGACTTTGGCTCTTGGAACACTTCCTTGTTCCTATCTAATACTTGATGCACAACTGGAGGTATATCAGTGATAGGTGCCATAACTATGCGATTCAGTAAAGCTGTAGCCCACACTTCATTGCCCTTCTCCCACTTTAACAGTTGTTCTGCAGAAACCTCCTCTATTTGTTCTTGATGTTTGGGCAGCACACCTTGCAGTTTGATCTCCTGGTCTTTATATTGAAATTGAATCCACTTGTCAGCCCAATGGCATTTCATGACCCCCCACTGTTCCAACCAGTCCATTCCTAGTATAATGTCATGTCCTCCTAATGGTAACACTTGCATGGAGTTACAGAAACTGTGGCCTTGAATCCACCAAGTGAGATGAGGAACTATTTCAGTGCAGGTGATAATCTCTCCATTTGCCACCTTCACTGGCCGAGGTTGTTCCAGTTTCTCTGCAGTAAGGGAAACCTTGTCCAACAGTGACTGATCCACAAACGTATGGGTGCTGCCTGAGTCTACGAGGATCAATACAACTTTGTTGCCCACCATTGCTCTAAGCTGAATTGTTCTGGGATGGGTTGCACCTGACAGAGCTGTAGCTGAGATCATAGCACACTCTTCAGTATCTGCTGTAACTAGAGCATCCAACACTGCGTCTGAAATAATCTCATGTGGATCAACCATCTCTGTTGCTTTCAGCTGTGCTCCCCCTGGTACTGCTTGGTTACATGTGTGCCCTGGTGTGAACTTATCTCCACATTTGTAGCACAGTCCATTTGCCCGACGATACTCTTTCAACTGTTTGGCTTTCCACAGCTCTCCTGTAGACAATCCAGATCGTGTGTCTGATTTGTTATACGTCGTCCGGGCATAACTAGATTTGTTATTTTTCTGTTGCAGCAGTAAACCCTCCTGTACTGACGCATATAGAGCTGCTATCTGTATCGTACTCGGTATCTGAAACTCGACAGCTGATCTGAGCTCTTCCTTGAGACCCATGAGAAAACGAGTAACCAGGAAAGTATCACTGATTGTCGGCTCATACAGTTTAACCGTGTATACCAGCTGCAGAAATTGCTGTTTGTATTCGTCGACAGTTTCTCGCTGCTTCAGGAGCATTAGTTCCTTCATCTTCTGTCGATACACATCAACATCGAACTCCAACAGTACCGCCTGACAGAACTGCTCCCAAGTGTGGAACTCACCTGATTGTTTGAAGGCCTGGTACCAACGGGCTGCATTATCAGACAAATACAGAGATGCGGACGTGACTTTGAAGCTCTCTGGGATGCTGTACAATCTGAAAAATGCGTCGCACTTGTCGAGCCAAATTTGAACATCTGTGCCATCAAACTTGGGGAAATCCATC